AGATAGCAAGTCAAAAAAGCTATACATCGCATTGAAGGGAAAAACAAGACAAGATTGCAGTCTAGTAAAAACAATTCCATCTGATAAACGAAATCTCATTACTATAAGACAAAATCAACTAAACATATCTTAATCAAGAAACTAAACAGCACCAAAACCAAAACCTAGCTATTATATTAAACACAACCACATTCAAAAACAGCAAGCCTAATAACCCATCCATCTCACAAATTTCATAACTCAAACTCCTCACCATCAAAACCCAAAATACCCAAAAAAGCATACCATTCACAAAACTCCAATAACTAAACAACAAACAAATCAACTAAAAATTGTCTTATTCCTTCATCTTCTTGATGGGTACCTTCAATCTTCATATCAATAAGATTGAAACTCAAAAGGGTATCCTAAAAATCGTTTCTTTTTCTCAAATTTTCATATAACAAGCCTAGATACACACATCCAAGTTCAAGTTTTTTTTAAACAAAAACACAAGAACAAGCAAGTTCAATAAAAGGGTATTCTTACCTGAAACTATGGATGAAAAAAACAAAGATTTTTTCCAGTAATTTCAACAGATTAGCGGTCACATAAGAAGAGTATAGATTTAGTATATCATATAGGAAAAAACAGCTACACAGAGAGAGAAAATAAACGGAAAAAAAAGGAAAAAAGGAAAAAAAAAAAAGAATGGGTTTTTTTTGGGACACTTCTCCTAGTTTTCTTCTAGTGCTAACAATGGAGGTGAAAACGCCTCTTTGTAGGTTAAAAATTAAAAAAATCTTTGGTTTTAGTTCAAAAACCTCTCTTGATATGGTAATTTAGGAGTTAGGGTTGTTAATGGAAGTGATTAGTAGTTAAATCCTTATTATAGATTTTAATGAAAGGCTTTATATAGTCTAAAAAGTGTTTGTGTTAGGGATATCGAGGCGGAATCAGGTAGAATTAAGGAGTGTCAAAATTATATTTGATTCTTTTTAAGTTTGTGGTGTGTTTTATTTTTCATATTTTGAACTTTATAAATAGGCATTTGAATTGACTTATTAAAAATAGCTTATAAGTTAAGGGCTCGTTTAGTTTAAGAACAAGTTATTTCAGAGTTTAATTTTAGAATTCAATTTAAATTTGTTAAAAATATGGATAGATAAATGATTGTTCAAATAAAAATATGTGATTCAGGTATATTTTATTTTAGTAAAAATTGGACCTATAATCCAAAAAACTCAAAGTATAATATTAGTGAAATGCACATATAAATTCTTATGTTAAAGGTAAAATAAAAAGTTGATTAGTAAGTCGAAAATGTTTTTTTATGGTGGATGCAATTGTTTTAAGATATAGTTCTTACAATATATTATATTAAAACTTATGAAGGATTTAAAAGGTTTTAAAATAGCACATTATACACCTCATGACTAGAGATCGTTTAACACAAATAAAGTTTAATTTCGATCTCATGAAAATGATTGGACAATATTGTATTTTAGTGTAATTAGTGCACTTAAGTCATGAGTTTTTTTTTTAATGTGCAAGAAAAATATATCTTCACGTCTATCGTAGAGATATAAAGTGAATCAAATATTGATATAAATTTATTTATTCTAATCAATCTTGTCAAGATATTTAAAATGCAGAAAAATTAGATGATTTATATGAACTTTGATCTAAAAAAGTTATTATTTTATAAATAAAAGTGTTTGCGACTTGATTGTTGCTATGAACAAGTCAATCAATTGCATGCAACGACGAGGTTACGAATAGGATGAAAGTTCTGATAGCCAAACCATACAAAGTGATTGTCAAGAACATATTTAGCTAAGCTCAAAGACTCAACATATCAAAAGATATATACTATAATCACAAAGATCGTACAATGATATCGATTTTTGAAAAGTTAATATACAAAATTAAAATGCATCATCTACAAGATTAAATAATATTTTTATTATAGAAATAAAATACACACTGCACTTTTTTTTATATCCTAGATTTTGTCTTCTTTGTATTTTCATTAAAAAGTTTCTAATGAGGCATCTATAAATATGTATTACAAGAAATAATAATAATTAAAAAAGAAAAAGTGTATATATATTATTTTAATATTTCTTTTGTGCTAGATTTTTCTTAATTAAGATTTTAATTTAAGCAACTGGACAAAAAAAAAACTATTTAGCCTTTGACAACTAGATCAAAACATGTTAGGTACAACTAAGGACTAATTTTTTTTTAGAGCAATTTCCCTGGATAGTCACCCATGTTTGGGAAATTATCTAGGAATATCACTTATGTTTATTTTAGGACCACAATATCACCCAACTTTACCTCTTTTCCTCAAAATATACTTGACACAAAAAAAATATTATCTCTCTCCTAATAGGATGCCATGTCACATTATTCCTTTTTTATTATTAACATTTTTTTAATTCCTTTTTTATTATTAACATTTTTAAAATTCTTTAAAAACATTATATCCTTTGTAGTTTGACAATATGGTTACCTTATTACTCTAATGAATTAAAATATCAACAAAAAGGGAGTCCGAAGCTAAAAGGGTCATTTTTTTCCTTCAAAAAATAAAAAGGGCACATCAAAAAAAAATTTAACCAAAAGGGAAAAATCCCTCCTGGCGGATCGATTTTCTTCTGACAAAAATTGACGCCGTTCCGTTAAAAGAAATAAAAATCGCTGCATTTGGCAGTGATTTTCTCAAAAAAAAAAAATTATTATTTCTTTAAAATCGCTGCTATAGCAGCGTTTTTATAAAAGAAAGAAAGTGAAATCGCTGCTATAGCAGCGATTTTTCGTTAAGGATTTAAAATAAAAACATAAAGAACAAGTTTTAAATTACATAAATTTCCGGCGGTAGCCATTTAAAAATAATAATAAGTTTTTTAAAGAAAAAATCGATGCCGAAGCAACAATTTTTCAGTTTTAATTTTTTTTAATTTTCATTTAAATCGCTGAAAGGGTAAAGATTTTTTTAAAAAAAAAGCTTTTTATGAAAATCGCTGGGTTCAGTTTTTTTTAAAATTTTTTTTTTTTATTAAATTCTCTACAAGGGTAGGATGTTTTTATTTTTTTAAAAAAAATAATTTCTTAAACAAAATCGCTACTATAGCAGCGATTTAACTTGAGAACTTGTTTTTTTAATTTCTTAAACAAAATCGCTGCAATAACAGCGATTTTGCTTTTAATTTTTTTAATATAAAAACACTGTTATAGCAGCGATTTTAAAGAAAAAATATTTTTTTGAGAAAATCGGCAAAGATTTTTATTTCTTTTAGCAGAGTGGCTTCAATTTTTGTCAGAACAAAATCGCTCCGTCAGGAGCGATTTTCCCCTTTTGGTTATTTTTTTTTTTGATGTGCCGTTTTTGTTTTTTAAAGAAAAAAAGTTACACTTTTGACTCCAGACTCAACAAAAAGGTGCCATTGCCCATTAGTGTCCATATAAAAACATTATCTCGCTTGAAAAATCGGAGGAAGCCACATATTTTCTTGAAGAATCGGAGGAGCTCATATTTGGATTTGCCGCCTAATCCCCTTGAACTAGGTAGAAATTTTGGGCTATGTAATTTTTTTTTTACTAGGTAATATGGGTTGTCTAAATTTTTTTTTTTAAAATGTTAATAATGAAAAAGGAATAATGTGACATGTCATCCTATTACGAGAGAGATAATGTTTTTTTTGTGTAAGTATATTTTGAGGAAAAGAGGTAAAATTGGGTGATATTGTGGTCCTAAAACAAACATAAGTGATATTTCAAGGTAATTTCCCAAACATGGGTGACTATCCAAGGAAATTACTCATTTGTTTTACTAACACCATGATATTACCACTTTTTTTTAATTACCAAAAAAATAATAATTTATTTTTCCCAATTTAATGGTGATTAGGAGAAAAATAAAAAGTCAAAACCAACTATTTAAATAATTAGTCCTTCAATTCTCCACTATTACAAATCTCCCCCTACCACTTTATATTTTCCTCTATTGTCTGCCTTAGTCTTTCTCCAGCGTTTCTTTTGGTAAAGACCATCTTCCGATTCTTCTCCACCGACCCATTCAACTACTTTACCATGACTCATATCCTTCAAAATTCATGAATTTTTATCTAATTTTTACATATTTATGCATAATTTAGATTGGGTTTGAGTTTTTTTATTGGTTTGATTGGTAAATTTGTTAGTATTTGGCAAAGTTTGGTGATTTTTGTGTTTTGACTTTTGGGTATTTGAGATTTGTGGTTATTGTTGTTTGTATGGTGTTTCTTTTTGAAGTTTTATGATAAAAATTCTATCTTTTTTGTGTTTATTTGAGATTTATGCTTATTGTTGTTTGTATGGTGTTTTCTTTTGAAATTTTATGGTAAAGATTGTATCTTTTTTGTGTTTATTCTTGTGGGTATTTGAGATTTATGCTTATTGTTGTTTGTATGGTGTTTTTTTTTGAAATTTTATGGTAAAGATTGCATCTTTTTTGTGTTTAGTCTTGGGGGTATTTGAGATTTATGCTTATTGTTGTTTATATGGTGTTTTCTTATTGAAAATTTATGGTAAAATATGTATCTTTTTTGTGTTTAGTTCTGCATCTGAAGTTGGTTGAGATTTATGCTTATTGTTGTTTGTATGGTGGATTTTATAGAATCTATGGCAAAAATTGTATCTTTTTTCTGTTTAGTTTTGTATGTATTTGAAATTGGTTGAGATTTATGCTTACTGTTGTTTGTATGGTGTTTCTTTTTGAAATTTTTGTGAGTTCTATGAAAAAAATGTATCTTTTTTGTGTTTAGTTTCGTGGTACTTTGAAATGTTTTCTTGGTAGCATGATCTAGTGGGTGTTTGGAATCTAATCAGATTTATGTTTGTTTTTGTGGTTTCTGGTGCTTGGTAGCATGTGTTTTTGTGACCAAACTAGTTTTTTGTTAAAGATTGTACCTTTTTTGTGTTTAGTTTTGAGGGTAGTTCAAATTAGATAAGATCTATGTCTCCTTTTGTGTATCATGGTGTCAGTCTTGGTAACTTTTGTGTGAACTTTGTGGGTACATGAAATTTAAGCAGATCTACTTTTAGTTTTTTTCTTTTAGTTTTATGGTGTTTTTTTTTGGTTTGGATTTGTATATTCTTGTGTTACCTTGACTGAATCAGACGCGGAAATCAAAGGGAAAAGGATCGGGAAAGAGCTGCAGCTCGTGCTGGTAAAGGCAAGAAGGGAGGCGATGATGGTTTGACTCCTGAGCAGCGCCGTGAAAGGTTTTCTTTATTCTCTTAATTGTACTTGTTGTATAGGTTTTATGTATTTTGCCTTGTGTTAATTATTGGATGTTTTTGAGTTTTTATATTTATATGTTTGTTGAATGTAGGGATGCGAAAGCTCTGCAAGAGAAGACTGCAAAGAAAGCAGCAAAAGAGGCTGCCGGGGGTAGCAATGCTGGAACTAAGGATACCAAGAAATAGAAAGCTAGGTGTTGTTACTTCCATTGCAGTCAGTAATTTGTCATTCCCCTTTGTTTGTCATGTTATTCACTGTTTAAATGTTGTGATGCAATATAACTTAATATGTCTGGATTGTCAATCCATCCGGTTTTGAATTATCTCATCTTCCTTTTGATATGATAAACTCCACCTCCAAATCACCTGTGTTTCAGTTGTTGCAATACTTATGTCAATTGTGCTGATAGAGAGTTGTAATACACCTTGTGCGTAGAATTTATGCAATGGCAAAGGCAGGGTAAATGTGATATCGATGTCATTAGTGGAGCGTTTTGTGTTATTTGTAAGTTTGTTTGTTGTGTTATTCCTTTTATTGGATACACACTACTCTCCCCACCCCAGACCTCACTTGTGGGATTACACTTGGTATGTTGTTGTTTATTGTGTTATTCCTCAACTCTGGCTTGAAGTTAAAAAGAGAAGGTAAGATTCACCAGTTTTTGTAGTAGATTTTTTTCCCAAGTACGAATTTCATAGAATGCAGAAGGTTTCCTTCCAAATTCTACGGTTTTCTTGGAAAACAGAACAATGGCCTTATTGGTGTTCAAAACTGATACACTGTGTTCTCTAGATGCAAATTATGGTCTAAGATGTGAGATCCGATAGCTTTCAGATTATTTGTGGATGATTTTAATACAACTTTAGGAGAGCTGTGATCTTTGTGGTGCTGTACCTTCCAACATCCAGGGCTTCAAAAGTAAAATAGGTGCTTCGAGTTAGTTCTAGCCTCTGGACCTCCCAAGGTAGGGGTAAGGTTTGCGTACACGCTACCCTCTCCACACTCCATTTGTGAGATTATACTAGGTATGTTGTTGATTCGAGACAGTTCAAGACTAGATAACAGTTCCTGCATCTGCCTGCTATGGTACATTACTACCCCTCTATATAGAGGAATTGAGGAGCTAGCATCACAGTGAGTAATAATGTTATGCTTGCTTGATTTCCCTCTGAAGTTTTTGATCACACTGTATCGGTGTTGATCCATAGAAAAAATACTGTATAACTGCTGCATAACTTTAGATTCCTGCTAGTTAGAGGTATCAAGGGTATTGCATAATGGTCGATGAAGTGAGTGAAAACCATAGGGAGAACCAGGGTTCAAAATTCCAGCAAAAACAAAGATGCAGATAATTCCTTTGCATTTGCCTAAGTCTCGGTGGACAGAGTAGTTACCTGATACCTACGATGGTAAGTGGTTGAGTGGAATAGTCGAAGATACTTGAAGTAGTTGAGGTGCCTGTAAGCTGGTCTGGAAAAAAGATACTAGAAAGCTGGCCTTAGTGCCTGAGCTTTCAAAGAACTTAGTCGAAAGCTACTTACAGCTTGTCCATATGCATAACGACTTGCAATTCACTGTCGACATTTCCAGTTTACATAACTTTGTTTGCAAGATAATGTGTTCAATGTCTGGGTAGTTGTATCTGAACTGGCTATGCTCGTGATCTTTCCCCTTTGCATTGTTCCTACAACTCGAATTGCTCTTGCTCTCATTGATACGATTTCTTTAGAGTCTCCAGCTTTACGAGTTCTTAGCCCCCGTCTTTTGTATGATCGCTCGTAATGAGGAAAACCATCAGCCATGAAATCTGCAAGTATTTCAGATTTTTGTTGTTTAAATGGCTTGAGAAAAACTCCATATTGGGTTAGTAACTTGAGGTAAAATTAGTGTTAGATTGTTTTGTAAAGAGTTGAGTAGGTATTGTTTGTGACTTGAAAATACAGCAATGGGTTTGCCTTCTGGTTGAGCTCGTTGCACCGGACTTGCCTAGTACGGATTACCTCTCCCGCATAGGAGCGGAGATTTTATCCCAAGTAGCGGTTGTGGGTTTCCCTTGAATAAGTGAAGATGGATTTATTGTTGGTCAGAACATGAAATAATTATTTTATTACTTCAATTCACGTGACACTCTTTTCTTTTTAGTTAGTAAAATTGACAATTTTCATATTTGGTAATTGATTTAACTTTAATTTTTTTATTCTACCTTTAATGAAATAATTTATAATCACAAAAATTTCAACGGCTTGTTTATAAATCAAAATATCTAAAAGTTTTTTCTCTTTTTAACTTTGTGTCTAGTAAAAAATTATATATAAATTAAAATGAAGGAGATACTTTTTTTCTTTCATTTAGAAGGCATTTTTTCCTTATTAATCTATTTCAAAAAGAACGTTGCCTTTCTATATTTCGAGACAATTTAACTTTATTAATCATTTTTACCCCTAATGACATACTTTTATACCCAAGAAATAAGATGATTGGCTTAATATCACTAAGTTTTAAGAATTCCTTTTTAATAATTGTTGTGTTCGATGTATGCTTTTTCAACTAATTTCACGGATTATTTGCTATCTTTACCAACAATAAGTATCAGATAATACTCTATCCACTAAGGCTTAGATGAATAAAAATAATAACCCAACGTTTTTGTGTTCGTTAGGAATTGGGATATGTATTGAGACCCATGACTTTTCTACTTCATTGATCATTAGCCTACACCCTTGATACGTTTTTTCTTCTCTTTCTTAAATTCAATGTCTAGTCAAATTCTGCCACATATTGAAACACGATGGAATGGTAAAAGTGTCCCATCTAATATGTCAAGATTTCATATGAGATGATAACACAATTCAACATCGATAAGACAATTGAAAAATTGATATTCAATGCATGATTCTTATAACACTAGAGATGTGCCCAATAGAATAATAACTAGCCCTAAAACTAAAAATAGCTATTTTCCATTAACCTTTACATTTTATAATAAGAAAAAAAAAAGTAGAAAACAACCAAGAAACATACCTCAACAAGCCATATCCATACCACGTTAAATGCTTTAGTGGTCATGTTATAACCAAATAGATTACATGTGATTTTACAAATTAAGTTGACCAAAAGCATATATCACAATACCTTATAATATTAGAAAGTTCAATCAAGGAAGATGAAGAGCCTCTAAAGTTGGAGCAAAAGTAAGGTTTGTGTTTTCGTGTAATTTATACGTCACAAATTTGAGTCGTGAAAGCAACCATTAGTACTTGTACTAAGATAGACTGCCTACGTCATACCTCTTGAGGTGCGACTCTTTTCTGAATCTTACGTGAATATAAAATGATTTGTAGATCGAGCTACTCTATTTCAATTAAGGCATATGAGCCGGGGGAAGTATATTCCAAAACCCTTTAATTGATGGCTTGTAGTTGAAGCAATTAGAGAATAAAAGAACATGCATCTAAACAAGCAAATTAGGGGTGCCTTTTTTTTTTTTAGACATTTATTCTCACTTTAGAATAAGTAGTAGTATATTGTTTGTTGATGAGTTTATGTTTTGTATTGTATATTATAAAGAATTTTTTGTGCTACCGCGAGGTTAAGTTGACCTACAATAACAAATAATTCTTTTCTTAGGATGAATATGATTCATCACATCCGTCCAAGTTTGAGTGAGTAATCAATTCATTTTGATCCACAAATTCAGCCCATCTAAACTTGGGGTTGATTTGCGCTAAAATATGTAAAATCCAAATTGATACATGAGGAGTCCTGTTCGAGCATAACTTGTAAAATATTATGATATGAAAATATAAACTTATGTTGTCGGAAAAGTAATTACTTATTTGTTATGAGGGGCATACATTAAAGACCAGTACAAAATACGGGCATAAGTGCAAATGACTCCTATATCATGCTGGATACTGGGCCAGGAGATTTTGGGCTAGGTGTCAGCCCAATTTAGGTTCATTTTGTGGCCCAAACTAGTGATCCATTCTATTTAGCCCGACAAAATGTAATTTTTTTCTTTTTCTTTTTGTTTTTCATCCGGTGCTTGGAGTTCCGACTAAATTCAGATTGCACACTACAGGGACCATTTAGGAGTGACGGGGTGACTCTGTTGGGATTTTTTTCGTACCCATGACTCAAACACAAGATCTCTGATTAAGGGTGAAGCAATTCCAACACTGCACTACAACCCGTGTTGGTGACTAAATGTAATATATTTCGTCCCATATATTTTCCTATCTTATTTTCAAAAAAAAACTTTTCTAAAAATATTTTTCAAGGAAATGTATATAAAAAAGGTAATCTTTATAGTGAAGAAGATATATATAATAAGAGACAAATGAGTCATTGTTGGATCTTCTTTTAATTAAAATAATTTAGTAGTCAATTTTCATGATGCATTTCTGCATAAATATTCTAATTTGTGGCAAAAAAAAAGTTAATGACATGTGAATATATGTATATCTAATTCCAACTTGTGTATTACAAAACTGTGGAAAATAATATTCGTTATTATCCTAAACATATTCAAATCATCTTTGGAAGAAACAAAAAAAATAGTTTGCATCTTTATAGGTACTAACTGCTAACAATAATAACATACGCAATGTAATTTTAGAAATGAGATATGAAGATTATAAAGAATTCGTAAATCTTATTCCTATCTCGTGGAGGTAGAGAGATTGTTTCAAATAAACTCTTAATTCAAGTAAAATATTTTAAATCAGTTTGAATGATCGAGGAAATACAAAAATGAAGGAGAATATATTTAGATACTAACCTTAAATGAATTTAATACTCTCACCATTTTAATTTATTTATTTTACTTTTCTTTTTAGTCTGTTTTGAAAACATTTCTCTTTTCCTTGTTGTCAATTCTTTAATTTCAACTTTCTACCTGACATGTTTAATAAGAGCACATGATTAAATGATATTTTGATACATTTTACGTATCTTTATTCTAAGACTATAAAATTTTTTTTTTTTTTTTTGTGTCAAGTTAAAATCAAATAAATAAATTGAAATTGCGTAAAATATTAGTATATAATATAGAGTCTATACTATAGCGTACTTATAGGCAAGAATAAGTAGGTGCAAATGTGGTCCTAATTATAATTTTAGGTTTTTGCTTTTCCTAATAACGTGCAATCCACACCACTCATCATATATAGGTTATATGTTAAAGTTCAATTAATCTAATATTTATGGTTTTAATCAATATTATCATCTTTAACACTCCTATTAATTATGAGATAATTAACTATGCATTGATTTAGTTTTTTCCCTTTGAATTTAACTCCGAATAAGATGGAATACCAACCTTCGGTTGTAGTTATATCGTGTAGTTTGTTTGTAGTATTATTTTGTAGTATTATCGTTACATTATTATCTATTGACTTTTATACTTTCATTATATCCCTACGACTTTTATCTTGAGTTGAGGGCCTATAGGAAACAACTTCTTCGAATCTATATTCACTTAATTA